TGGATCCCCATTGGAATGCCCCGAGGTGATTCCTGTGTTTCCACTCCAATCCCTGATTTCTCCCTTTCCCCTGGCTCCCCTCTGGAATGCCCCAAGGTGATTCCTGTTTTCCCATTCCAGTTCATCCCCTGGAAGAAGCTGTACCAGCAGTTCCTGAGGAGGGAGCCCTCGGCCCTGCTGAGGGTGGAGCAGATCCTGCAGGAATTCTGCATCACCCAGGGGCAGCAGGGCTGCGTGCTGGGGCTGCTCAGGTGAGTCCTGCACATCCTCACCTCAAAATGCCAGGTTTGTCTTTGGGAAACGTGCAGGAAAAGGGATTTTCATAGGAAAAACCACTAAAAAAAGGTACAAAACTACACAAGATCCTGCAATCATGGAATTCTTTAGGGTGGCAAAGATCTGGATCCCACCATTCCCAGCACTCCCCAAGTGCCACATCCACAGTGCTGGAACCCAAAATGCCAAAAACCCTCAGAAATTCAGGTTTCTTATAAGCCAAAACTTAGAATTAAACACAAGAGTTTATCTGAGACCTTAGAGTAAAATTCCAAATTTAAAAGCAGGAATGTGGGTTTATAGTTTAGAGCAGAGACACATTCAAATAAATAAAGTTTTAGAGGTTAAGATAGAGAAGAAATAACGTAGCAGCAGTTGGTGAGGGTGGAGCAGATCCTGCAGGAATTCTCCGTCTTTGTCTTCTGGGAAATGTGCAGGAAAAGGGATTTTAAAAGTGATTTTAATTTTTGCAGAAAAAATTATTGAAAAATTATTTTAATAGGAAAAACCACTAAAAAGAGGTACAAAACTTTTCCTTATTCTGTTCCACAAGATCCTGCAATCATGGAATTCTTTAGGGTGGAAAAGATCTGGATCCCACCATTCCCAGCACTCCCCAAGTGCCACATCCACAGTGCTGGAACCCGAAATGCCAAAAACCCGCAGAACTTTGGGTTTTTTATGAGCCACAATTTAGAATTAAACACAGGATTTGTCTTTAATTTGATTTGTGTTTGTGCAGAGAAGATTTAAAAATAAAGTGTAATTATGATTGAGAGATCAGTGTGTTCAGGTGGAGAGAGGATTCAAGAAAAATTATCATTGAGGCATCAGTGTGTTTAGATGGAGAGCAGATTTGAAAATAAAGTATAACTATATATATAAATATATTATAATATTATATATAATAAAGTACAATTATGGTTGAGGCATCAGAGTGTGAACAGCAGATTTAAGAATTAAGTATAATTTTTATTAATAGGAGTGTGTTCAGGCGGAGAGAAGATTCAAGAATAATTAGTATTGAGGCATCAGTGTGTTCAGGTGGAGAGAAGATTTAAAAATAAAATATAATTATTATTAACATGAATGTATTCAGGTGGAGAGGATTCAAGAATAATTGTTATTGAGGCATCAGTGTGTTTAGGTGGAGAGCAGATTTGAAAATAAAGTATAACTATATATATAAAATATATTATATATAATAAATATATATATATTATATAATAAAGTACAATTATGATTGAGGCATCAGTGTGTTCAGGTGGAGAGAAGATTTAAAAATAAAATATAATTATTATTAACATGAATGTATTCAAGTGGAGAGGATTCAAGAATAATTATGACTGAGGCATCAGTGTGTTTAGATGGAGAGCAGATTTGAAAATAAAGTATAACTATATATAAA